AATAAATAACAAAAAGAGCTAGAACTAGTTAAAAGTAATCCCTAGAAGAGAAAGTTAAAGAATTGCTAACCTTTATGCACATCATCCATTCCCATGGCTACACAGATCTCTGCTTTCTGCTAAATATAAATTTAATAAGCTTTCTACTTCAAACCATAAGTTTTTTTACATTATCAAAGACAAAGGTAATGGGAAAGGCAAGCATTTTAGTAAACGTAATACTAAGTGCTGCAACACTGTATATTCTGTTCATGATATGTATGGGTGAGTGCATACTGATTCTTTTTATATTTTATTCCAAATGGTAATTATTCCAATATCTCATAAATAGTTGATGTGAAAAGACTTTTTTTGTAGGATGCAAGATTAACACAGCTCTTACAGGGCCAGGTTATTAACCTTTATTCATCTATTTATATTTAAAAATTATGACATAAATTAGATTAATAAAATTGGTGAAAGCAATTGGTACTGATTGTTTTGCAGTTGTTTGGTACAAAAAGGCCATTTGATTCTTATCTCTTATTTAACTGAAGAGAAATGGTGAAGCCCTTTTTAATAGACTTCTATTCCTTAGTTTCAAAGAGGTCAATATTTGAGTTTCTTATACCTTGCCATGTGTTCCTATTATTTAGCAATATCTTTGACTAATGTGAACGCTATTAGCTTTGTCTATAGATTACAGTTTGTTCCTTGAACAACTGTGCATTTACTTCAGATATAATCCAACATTCATTATTTCTCTGTGTCTTGTGAAAGATTTTGATGCAGTTCTATAAGATTTCCAAAGTAGGTTTTGATTCATTTTGGGTTTTTTCTAGATAAACATGTTTGGATCATGTTTTAGCCTATTCCTAAATCACATGCAATTATTATTGGTGTGTAGTTAAATTTACAGTACTGTGCAAAAGTTTTGGGCAGGTGTGAAAAAATGCTGTAAAGTAAGAATGCTTTCAAAAAATATATTGTAATTGTTTATGTTTATCAATTTACAATTATTATTGGTGTGTAGTTAAATTTACAGTACTGTGCAAAAGTTTTGGGCAGGTGTGAAAAAATGCTGTAAAGTAAGAATGCTTTCAAAAAATATATTGTAATTGTTTATGTTTATCAATTTACAAAATGCAAAGTGAACAAACAGAAGAGAAATCTAAATCAATTCAATATTTGGTGTGACCACCCTTTGGCTTCAAACCAGCATCAATTCTTACACTTGCATACTTTGTACACTTGCAAAAAGT